TTATTAAGTAAGGACTTGTGTCGCTAAAGTTTCGTCGGAACGAAGTTATGGAAAATCAATTAACAAACGGAGACGTAACAATACGTTTGATGGGTAAACCAATCTTTATTACAGACACAAAAAGAAGGCTAGAGAAAAATCACCTACTAAACTGCACTCATCGCCAACTCTTGGATTACTCAAATCGAATAGTGGAATTTTACGGTTACTCTTAAGCCCATTCACAACCTTAAAGAGTGGTTGCTGTTGTTTGTCGAATTTATTGCAAAACTACTCGAGGGCTATTTGAAGTATCTGTCCCTAATTTTTAAGTCATGGGTTAGAGGGAAGGCAGCTAGTTAACACTAACCACTGCCAAATCTTGGGTTAATTTTACCAACGAAAGGTAGAATTGAGCGTCACATTATAATGCACACACAGCTGAAAGAGCAAGCTTGTTCAGTGATGGAACCTAAAAGAATAGAACACGAATATTTTGTAAAAACGGGACACGAGCCATGGATCCCAATGTCCACAGTTCAGAATACTAATCACTAGATCACACGCGGCCCATTGATTTATTTAGGCTACTGGTCTGGTTAATAGAATTAACTTGTGCCCTTGAACTAGATCTATTATTTTTTGTAATTTTAAAGACAATTCCACACAAACGATTTCTTGTTCCAGGGGAAAAAATCCTGGTTGGCACAGCACAGTTAGCCTATTGTATTGTATTGCTTTTCGCTTAACAACAAGACAAACAAGTTTGAGATTTTGAAGACTAATGCTATATAGTAACTTGAAAAACAACGAGGAATAAAACTGATAAGGTTTTAACTATATCTAATGAAAATTATAAAAATACACTTCATTTATATAACACACACACACATATATACATATATGTATAACTTTTGTTTTGTTTTGGTGGTTCATGAACTAAATTGTTCACTCTAATCAAATAATCGAACACCATACGGAAATCAGTAGAATCATGGCGTCGGGACAGATAACAGAGGCTTTAAAGCGGCGAAGTTTACATCCTAACGAACACTCAAACAATGTAAGAATAACTTCTCGCAATCGAGTTACTTTAGTTGCACTTGTCATGCGTGTCTGCCGCAAGATTGTTTTGTTTAAAGTTGAGTATAAGGTACTTATATATATAGGAACTGTGTTTTTGATATCAGGAATATGCGACATATTTCCGTCTGCGATTTCCAAATCCTACTTCTCACGAAAAGATAATTTCATAAACCAGTATTTTGTCAAGCGCGGATGGGGTTGGACACTGCTAATTGTTGGCTTGTTCATTTTTTTAACCAGTAGGACATACTGTCGTGGTGATAAAAAGCTCATTAGTAAACATATGAGTCGGCTCCTTATCGCGACTGTAATGTGGTTTTCTTGCACATTCCTGTTCGAATACATTGAATGGTTGACTGGTAAGTGTGAAAAACGAGATATTGAAACTAAAGATTTGTGTAAGAAAAGTGGACATGAATGGCAGGGATTTGATATATCAGGGCATACATTTCTTTTGATTTACTGTGGCTTGATCATCATGGAAGAAGGAAGGTGTATTACAGTATGGGAAGGAATTGGAAAACAGATTGTACAAAATTATGTGTTTGAAGCTAATATTAGAAATAGTACATTGAGGAGACTGTCAGAAAACGAAATTTCAGAACTGAGAAAGTCGTATAAGAAATTGACACCATTTGTGCAATTGACGTTTGTCTTGATGACTATTTTATTGTTAATGTGGGATGTTATGTTGATGGCAACTATTGTTTACTTTCACAGCATTGCTCAGAAATCAGTTGGAGGCATCATTGCTACTGGTGCATGGCTTGTTACTTACTGCAAATTGTTTCGAATGAAACACTCTCCTGGACTTCCTGGGGAAGGTTTGTTACGGTTTCAAAGAAATTCTGCATGGTAATAGAAGTATTATCAAAGCTAAAGTGAAGGAGGTACCAGTTCATTGCAACTTTTTTGAAGTACTCTCACAACATTGAATTGTTAGATTTTTTTATTATGCAACGTTGAAATTAAAGATTACCATTGAATGATTGATGCAGAAGAAAAGTTCCCTTTCTTACAAATCAACAAAAATATTTTTAAAAAAGAAGCACTTTGTACAAATTTATAAAATTAAGTAATTTATAATAACTTTTCAGCATAATAATGCACAAAGGATTTAAGAATTAACAATATGTAAAAAAACCTGACAAGTTTTGACAGGCCAAGAATGTCATTCTTGAGAGATGAAGTAAAACTGATTTCAGCATCTCGTGAGCTCGGGTTCAAAAGTCAATGTTAAGTAATCATAATAGAGTGCAAAAACTAAATAGAAAATATTACATCCAATGCTGTTATCAGATTTTTACACTTAGTATTTCTTGTTTTAATAATGGAAGATCTGTAAAACATTTGTGAATCTTTAGTGTAATTGGAAAGATGGGGCCATTGATGTTTTAGTACAATGAAAATATATTCACTAAACTTGTTTATTTCCAACAAGATCTCAAACACTACCTTTAATGTTAAAAAAAATTATACCAAAATGTTGAATTATTTTTTATTGCTGGTACAATGGTTAAGGAAGAGTATGACTATCCCTAGGCCCGGCATGGCCAGGTGGTAAGGGGGCTCGACTCGTAATCTGAGGGTCGCGGGTTCAACTCCCCATCACACCAAACATGCCAACCTCCGCCTTTGCCTGGTCCCAAGTCCAGGATGAGAAAGGGGGAGGGTTGGGCATGGGGCTAGCAACTCCACCCTGTAAAACCAAACTGCTACAAGTAACTGCAACGACACCTTCCGTTGG